CTGAATTTTGGAACAGCCAATATTTAATCAGAGAAAATTCCTCTTGTTAAAATCTGTTGGCTTGTTCAACGTGGAGGTTTTTGCTTAAAAATACTCACCACTTATTTAAGGCTAGATGTGCTAAGTCACCCACAGAGCATAAAGAAGGCTTGGTTATTTGGAACAGGGGGTTATTTGCCTGCTTTTAGTTTGGACTAAATGTACAGTGCCACATACTCTCTCTTTGAGCCAAAGGGGCTGTGGGCACAGTCTAGGTCAGCTGGAGTAAACAAGGGAAGGGTTTTCTGGGAAGGAAGGCTTACAAGGCTGAGCCTGTGGGAAAGAGGGTAAAGGTAGAAGGTAGACTGGTATAGATGGGAACTATGCCACTGTGCATATATTATGGTGTGCATGGGGGTTTGGGAGGTAGTGCTGCTCATGGAGTGGGAGAAGGGAAGAAAGACAATTCTGTAACCCAGCACTTAAGAGGCTGAGGCAGGAATATTGCTGTGAGTTCGTTAGCCAGGGCTGTTGAATGTGACCCCACCTCATAAAAACAAAGGAAAAAGAAATGAATGTGATGATATTATAGAAAAAGAAATCCTGTGTAAATGAAATAGTCTAATAAGTGAGGCTGTATATGGTCTCCTTTACAAATATAATCAGTATAAGGTATATATACCTTATACTGATTTAAAGCAATATTACAGATGTGACTTGTGTTTTGAATTACAGTCCTTGAATATTGCTCATTTTGTATTTGATTCCCTTTTCATCTTGCTATGACTTAAGTATCTGAGAAGAACAATGTAAAAGAGGAATTATTTATTTGGCTCATGGTTTCCAAGGATCTCTGGTCACTTGGCTGTTTCTGGGCCTGTTGTAAAGAAGAACATCATTCATAGTGAGAGTGTATGGTGGAGATGGCTGTCCATGTAGCAGACGGGAAGTAGAGAAAAGGAGCGAGGAAGGATCCAGAAGATTCAGCCCCAGGGATATGCCCCAAGTTACACTCCTTTCCACCTACACCCCATCTCCTACTTTCTATTGCCTTTTTAAAAGACCATTATATTATAAATTGACCAAGGGATTACTTCATCCATTACATCAGAGTCCTCATGATCTAATCATCTCTGGAGATGTCCTCACAGACACCCAGAGGTGAGCACTGATCTAGGTGTTTCTCAGTCTAATCAAATTGATGTCAGGAGCACCATTACACCATTGCTTCCCATCTGAAGATTTTAACAGGCTGGATGTTCCCTCACATGGTGACCTAGCTAAAACATCAGGTTCCTTCTGAAGACACTCAGTGTGTCTTCCCTCACTTCCTTCACGTGGATGCTTCCTATGTCCATGTCAGGTCCTAATTGCTGCTCTGAATCTGGACTAGGCGTTCTCATTGGGATGGTGCAAAGTGATGTATCAGTTTGCCTCAGATTATGTTTGTAGGGGTAAAAACAAACTCTCTGTTTTCTGCCTCTGTTCTTTGACCTTTGTTGGCCATACTTCCCTTTCACACAGACAGCACTGTGTTCAAAGATTCCTCACTTCATTCTTGTCATCTACAGTCCTGCTAAGTGGGAATTCTACCTGCTGCTGGTGGATCCTCCCTATCCATTGCCACTGGCCCTTGGACTTGATCAAATCTCACCCCTTTTGAATGTGCAGTCCCCTTTGCAGCCAGAGATATTCCAGGTTAACAGAAGCTTTGCCCTTGCCTGAATGACAAGGCCAAACATGTAAGCATGGCTTAGACTTGGCTTTTCCCAGCAAGATTTTTTCTTCCTTTGCGCTTCACCTGTCTCTGAAGAATTTTTTTTCTTTTTGGTCTTATTGAGACTGGAACTCACAAAGATCCGCCTGCTTCTGCTTCCCAAGTGCTGGAATTAAAGGTGTGCGCCACCACACCAGGCCTCTGAAGAGTTTTTTAGTATAAGTTTGTCCTGTGACATAATTGGTATGTCCTGAATACTCTACAAGGCATACTTATGCTAAAAAGTTGTTTATTATTTACCTAAAATGTAACTGTTCTGCACAAGAACTATGTGAAAGATATGAGAGGCAAGGAACGTGCCAAATGGTAGGGATGGTAGAGGCTTACAGAGTGTCAGTGCTGTACAGAGGGGCTCCTGCAGAGACGTGGGCGGGGGGGACTGCACAACCTAAGGGAGGGTCAAGAGAAGAGGCAAACTGCTGATCTTATGCAAAGTCTCCAGGGTCTCAATCATAGACGCTCACCTGTGGTTATCGCTGATCCAGGTGTCAGACCCTTCCCTCCCCCTTCCAGGCAAGCCTTGAGCAAACCTTTTTGTATCCACTTTGTGGATACTAACATAGATAGATGCAGATCTCTTTGTTCAAAAGATAGATTTTCAGAGATTTCCTGTCAGCAGTTTCTCTGAATAACCTTTTTGAAACTTTCCAAAGAAATATATTCAGTGTGGGAGATTTACTGTTCCACAGGAGCCTGGTCAAATAAATACAGTAGCATGTCTTTTATGCCCTGCTCCGAGATCTGGTAAAAAACATAGGTGGTGGCTGGGAGCGGTGGCACATGCCTTTAATCTCAGCACTTGGGAGTCAGAGGCAGGAGGATCTTTGTGAGTTCAAGGCCAGCCTGGTCTACACAGTGAGTTCCAGGACAGCTGGGGCTACAGGGAGACCCTGTCTCAAAAAGACCAAAAAA